TGCTAAATATTTGTGATGACCAAGTTTGGTCCTGGAAAAGAAATGAGAAGATGCTTCCCACCTTTCATTAGGGTTGCGGAAGACCATGGGTGCAGAATGTTGCATATAGCGTCAGACATGGTCATTATGTTGGTTGGTTGTGCTTTTTTTCTTTGTTATAAGGTATTTAAGGTAAGGCTCATTGGGTAATTTGTGATGTATCTGGAAATGGCCATGCCATAAAAACAAAAGGCATCGTTAACACTTTTTAAGAGAAGAGATATAGCTTTGTTTAGGCTGTCCTTTTTCTTTTTGTCCTTTTTCTAAAGATACTGAATTGTAGAGTTAAAGCACAAAAACATACCTTTCTTCAAAAACACATAGTTTCCTCCAAGTATAAACAAACCCATTCCTTGTCCTCATGAGACAGGTTTCTCTATGACCTTTCACATTGCTATCATAACAAGAAATCCCCTTATCAACTTAATCACAAATCTCCTTACATTTAATTTTATTAGATCTGTCCCAGTGTTTTAGCTTGTCAAGGTCTTTCTGGATCCTGTCATCCAACATGATCGCTTACTTTGTGTCATCTGCAAATTTGATAAGTATGCCATGTAGGCTGTTATCCAAGGCATTTTTAAAACTGTTGAACATTATAGAATGAAACACTGATCCCTAGGGCATTCCACAGTAGTGGGGAGAAAAGGCATGGGAGTATTACAGTATTAGTTTGTCTGTAACACAAAACAAATATGAGGCCAGTCACAGATTTATTGACTAGATAAGAAAAGAGAAGAGTTTCAGAGAGTATCATAAAAGGTTGAAAAATTCAAAAAATGATGGTCTGTTGCTTAGGGAAAGAGGAAAGAGAAATTCAGGAAAAAGTCCAAAGTTGTATAAGCGATTAATGTCCTTTGCTAAGTCACTTAAAATTGTATCAAAACATTCTAGCATAGAAATGGAAAGAGGAGACAGTCACACAATGTCAAACACAGCACACACTGATTGCTTTAAAGTGTTAAGGTGACAATACTGGGAACAATGAAAGATGATCTTTGAGTTGAAAAGAGGGTGTATGAGGTGGCATAGAATATTAGAAATTTCATTAAATCTAGGTCTCAAGAAAGAATGGAGAGCATATCTTTGGTGAGTCTTTAAATTTTGGGGATTTTTTGTCTTTATTTTTTAAGTATGGGAATATGTCCTCCAACTATCTTTAAAAATAAGTTGCTTAGGGCAACTAGGTGGCACAGTAGATAGAGCTCTGGCCTTGGAGTCAGGAGGATCTGAGTTCAAATTTGGCCTCAGACACTTGACACTTACTAGCTGTGTGACCTTGAGCAAGTCATTTAATCCCAATTGCCTCACCAAAAAAAAAAAAAGTTGCTTATATATTGCTTCTGAAATACTGTTTTTTATGACATATCTATAAAACCTTTGCAAGAAAAAATATGAAAGCATGAAGTTAATAACGCTTCAATATATGAAAGCACTTGAAACAAAAAGTATTCTCTGTCAAATGGCTTCTCTTGATACTTTACTGAAGGGCCCTAGGGATCTGTGCTATGATGTTCAAATTCTCCAAGGAAGAAGAAAGTTCCAATGAAGTATGAATGGGATGTGAGGAGAAAGTATGTGACATATTGATTCACGGTCACAAACTTTCTTAAGAAGAAAAAAAAATAATGTGCTGATGTGTATCAATCAGATTTTTATTTTTTTGGAGGCAATCAGGGTTAAGTGACTTTCCCAAGATTGCACAGCTAGTATGTGTCTGAGGACAAATTTGAACTCAGGTCCTCTTGACCCAGGGGCAGTACTCTAGCTAATGTGCCACCTAGCTGCCCCTCAATCAGAAATTTAAAAATAGGCATGATCATGATACATAACTCTTTGGAGAGATTTGGGGCTCAATGACTGAATTTAACCATAGGAAACGTCTGTTAAATCTATGGAGCAATTCACACAGCATAGCCATGTTCTAGGTGTTAATTCAAATTTATGCAAGATACTTTAGTTGGGACACTGAAAGATCAAGAAGGAGCAATGATTTGAAAGGCTAGGTGAGCAATAAGTCATACTGCAGGTAAGCTCACATTTGAAGATTAATTGGCTTTTGTAATCCCAAGCTTGGTAAAACTGAGGGGAACACAGAAAGGTCATTTTCATAAATCAATGATATTTTTAAATTCCTAAATCAATGACATTCATTATGCAAGTTAAGAAAGATAAAATTTGTCTTGAGGGGGTGAATTTGGTTTGGTTTTAAATAAAACACAAACATCTGTTGCTATTAGATAAAGTGGAATTGTAATCTAATCTAAACTGACATCAAAGGATTGACAGACTGCTCCCTAAGACTGAGATATACTACCTCTTGACCTCTACCTCTAAAATCTCAGCTTCTTTCAAAGCTTGGCTGTAACATAACACCTTTTGTAATCATAGCAGTTTCTATTGCTTATTTCACCCACCAGTTTTTTTTGTTTTTGTTTTTTTTTATAAATTTTGTATTTACTGAGGTAACAGGGCATTGCTAGAGCTGCCCAGCTTGTTTCTGGCCAACCACTTGTATTAAGTGCTTGTATTATATGACGAAGAAACCCCTGGTCTCTTCTTTTTGACCAAGTATGACTCAGTGCTCTAGGACTCCAGTGTTTTGGGAATGATGAAGCCATTCCCTTACTAACCACAGAACAGAAAGAAATAATAACTCAATAGATCTTTAGGTTCTCTCTTCAGTTCCTGAGGGCAAATTATATCAGGTCTATTCAAGCCTATCCTGGGTGTGGGTTAGAAGGTGGCTTCCCATTTCCTCTGCTCTAGTCACATAGTGATTGTGGCAACTGTTCCCAATTGGCAGGTCAGACTGATAGGTAAATTGAACCTGGGCTTTGAGGCCTCTGGTTGCCTTTTCGACTTCATATTTCCTTTTATGAATACAGTTAGGTCTCATTATTTGCCTACTACACAAAAATTTGTTGTAATCCCTAAATCAATACTCATAGCGCTTTCCTGGTCATTTTTGAATATCCAGAGAGGCAAAAAATTTGAGTCACTGGATATGCATATTCCCAGCTGAGGCAATGCTCTGTCTTCTTGTTTCAGCTCCCATACTATAAATACTTGTCCTTTCTGTAGTGCCACACTTTTCACTTTTTTTGTGTTTTTTTGCTGGTGATTTCGATGTTTAAAATGGACCCCAAGCATAGTGTTGAAGTGCTCTGTATCTTTCCTAAGTGCAAAAAGGCCATAATGTGCCTTACAGAGAAAATGGGTGTATTAGATAAGCTTCTTGTAGGCCACGAGTTCAGTTAATGAAACAACAATATTGTACATCCAGAAAAAGGAAGAGGAAAATTGCTGATCTGTCTCTGAGGCCCTCAGAAAAGTGCTGAAGTAAATGTTGTAACCAGAAGCTTGTAGGAATCTAATGCTGTACTTCCCCTAGGAGTTATAGTTCAGTATTTGCTAATTTAGTATTAGAGGAAAATTTATAGAACATAACTACTGAAAATGACAGGAATCCACTGGCTGTTAATTGACCAGAGATCCTGAGCTACAAGTATCTAATCTTGGAATCAACCTAGGTTTAATTTTCCAGGACATCTTGATTACAGCTAACCTGTGGCAGGGGGGTGGGGTTTCTGTTCTTGAAGATAACTATCAGCTGGGGGATGAAACCAATCTCTGCTCGGGTTTGCCAGAAAATTTCTACCTTGGAGGCACCAGTGCACAATGAGGTGAAATACAGAATGCCTTATTCAGCAGTCCCACAAATTTCTTGTTTCTTGTTCTGATGTGTAAATTTTAACCTCCTAGGAGAGCATACCAATATTTATTTACCACTGGTTGTCTAAATTTAGTTAATTCATGCTTCTGAGAACCTTTTGGGTGAAGCATTTGTTTTGTGTCAAGGAGATTAATATCTATCTCATATCTTATTTACATTATACATTGCATACCTGGTAATAAGGAACTGCACCAGTCAAGTAGTAGTATTAGGGAACAGGTGAGGAATAGAAGATAACACGTAGGTTGTGAAACTGGGTAGCTGGAAAAATAGTGGTGCCCTTGACAGTGATAGAGAAGCTAGGAAGAGGGTAGAACAAGTCTTATCTCTGCATGCATACATATATAAGTACATGTATATCTATCTCATCCTATCTAAAAATAGAACTAGGAGCAATGGGTTAAAGTTTCAATGTTTCAAAATTTCAATTGTTTGCAAATTTAAGATTGTCTTATCAACAATTAGTTATCCAAAAGTGGACTGAGCTGCCTTAAGTAGTGTGCTCCTCTCCAGTAGAAGTGTTCAGGCAAAGCTGGATGACCCCTTGGTTGGGTCATAGAGAGAATTCTTAGCTATTGGCTAAGTGGCTGGGCTTCTGGCGTCTGCTTTCAGCCTTCACTTTATACCCAAGAGGTCGATGTATTGGCAGAACACTTTTTTGTTTTGTGTTCAAAGTAACTTAGAGGTAAAGGAGAAAGGTTGAGAAAAGTATCTTGGATTTAGCCTTTAAGGCTGCACCAATAAATTGGGAGAGAATCCTGATAGCAAAGAGCTGAGGGATTACCAAGGAAGCTGAGCCTTCGTGTAAAGGTGTCTGTGGGAGAAGGAGGAGGAGGACCCTGGGAACCCGTGTGCAGGTTAAGGCTTCTCAAGGACTGGGAGACCCGAGCACATGTTACTGTTCTAGATCGTGGCCGGGCTGGGGGGCCAGAGCAATCGTCAGGGTAAATTCCAAGCGCCCTAGGGCATAGAATGTAATCCTAGTGACTCTGGAGGGGAAGTCTGTGGGAAAAACAATTTTCAGTCTGCTTCCCGCCCTGTTCCACAGCCCCAAAAGCCAGGACAAGTAAAGGTAATAAAGTGGAAACAGGAGCACGAGACAATATTCACAAGTCACCGGCCAATAGGCTTTATCTGCAGAGAGAAGGCGGAGCCGGCGCGAGAACGCGATGACGCAAGGACCCTCTCAGAGGACGGAAGTGGCGTGATGACGTCAGCGCCATCGCAGAGGGCGACGTGATGATATAACGTGGGGTCACGTTCTCTCGAAGGGGCCGCGGGCCCGGCTTCTGGAGCGAGGGAATTCTACTTAGTCAATGGGGACTTGCTGAGGGGTCACCAGGCTGGGAAGGTGGAAGCTTCGGGCCGAGATCGCTCTTCCGGTTGGAGAAGCCGACAGCGACCGCCAGAGTGGATGGACGTGGCTCCACGACCCGGCCCCTCCTGAGAACGAAGCGCGAGAGACCCGGGCCATGTTGGCTGTCGTAGGACCCGGACCGAGGCGCCGCTGGGCGTGCGTGGCGCAGGCCGCCCTGGGGGGCCTTGGGCGCCGACTCTCGGTGGCTGGCGGGGCTTCCCCCTTCTCTCCGTGTCCGGAAAAGGACCCCGCCTTCTGGGGGACCTCTTCCAGGCCCTATAGCGCCACGGACCGGACGGTGACTGCTGCGCCGACTCGGGGGCCGCTGCGGGGTGGGCGGGGTGGGCTGGGCAGGCGGAAGGCGGAGCGGGGTCTGCGGCTGGAAGCCCCGAGGGACCGGGGGTCGGGGGCCAAAGGAACGGTTACTTGGCTTTCTCACTTGAATTTGTGTTAGGAATCATTTTGCCCAATCCCAACATTTTGCGGAGAAGGAAATTTAAGGCCATAGATGTGCATTGTATTTGTCCAAGGTTACATAGGAAACAAGTGTCAGAGGCGAATTTGAACCCAGTGCTCTAAATCCATATTCCCTACAGCACTCTGTGATAGGAATGTAACAGAATTGAAAAAAGAAAGGTTTTCTTATGGATTGCTGTAGTTTAGCTGTAACCTGAAATTAAAGAATAAAACCCTTATGAAAAGCAAATCAAGGTTTTGTGACAAAATAAGGTTACATATTAAACGTATGTGAGCTATCTTTTAAAATTCAGGTACAATAAAGTTAGCATCTTTTTTATTTTTGCATTTCAGTATTAAGAAATCAACTTGGATGAAAATAAAAAAAATTGTCTTTGATACAACTTACATCTGTCAAAGCTTAGACTAAATGCAATGTATTTTTAAATAGGAATGGTAAGTTAAAAGTAAAAGTCATGAAAATGTGTGGTCCCCAGACCTGCAGTTTCTCCTAGCAAGCAAAAGGAAATGATGGAAAAGGAGACTTTTACCTCCATGTTTGTCCTTAATTGTGACACTTACTTGATAAATTCTGTTATAGATCCTAGTAACTTTATTTTTTGTTATTGTGAAGAATGTAATAAAAAAAGACTTAAGGATAAAAGGATTCTATGAAAGTAAGAGTCATTTGGATTGGTTTGATCTGGAAATACAGTAAATAAAATCATTTCATTGAAATATGAGTTTCCTATTTTCCTGCCTTTCTAGGAAAGACTGGATATGTCTAAATTTCCTGTGGAAAATGTTAGAAATTTTGGCATCATTGCTCATGTGGATCATGGCAAAAGTACTCTAGCTGACAGACTTCTGGAACTAACAGGTGTGTAAACTCTTTTTAATGTGGAATGGACACTTGACAGTTAAATAATTTGGCATCAGGAAATTCACAGACTGATATTTCATATTTGCTATTATTTTGCATCTATTCCTTAACCACAGTCATTAATATGTATATTTTCAAAGTGTTTGAAGTTGATTTAGTCATGTTTATTGGCATATCTTTATGAAAGATTCAGTTAGTATATTTCATTATCATATAGAATTGAGCTTAGGTAAAGAGTTTGAATATGTCTTTGCATAACTTATTGTCAAAGATGGTTTTTAAAACTTAGTGTTGTTACCTTCTTAGAAAAATTTTCACAAAATTATGTTTCTAGGTACAATTGCCAAAACTGATCATAATAAACAAGTACTTGATAAGCTACAAGTAGAACGGGAAAGAGGAATCACTGTTAAAGCACAGACTGCATCTCTTTTTTACAATTACGGAGGAAAACTATACCTTTTAAATCTCATTGATACACCAGTAAGTTAAATATTAATCCTGGGTTGTTTGTTAATAATATTATCTAAATTAGTCTTAAACTTACTATCTCTAAATTCTGCTTTTTGTTTCACTACTGTTCTGTTTAATGTCACCATTGTTTCATGAATAATTAACAAATATAGGTTTAATTGAAAGGGTTAAGTTCAAGTCATTAGAATGTAAAGTTTTAGCTTATGTTCAATTGTTTTGATGTTTTTTTTTCCTGTTAGGGCCATGTTGACTTTAATTATGAAGTGTCAAGATCACTCTCTGCTTGTCAAGGTGTCTTACTTGTGGTAGATGCAAACGAGGTATAAATTTTTTAATTTTTTTTAATATTAGATAATGATTTTTCTGTTATTTACAAATATCCTTTGGAATATCTTTTATAAAAAGGCGTTTTACTTTTTGTAATGAATAGATCAGTTCTAATTAGACTTTATATGCTGATGTGTATAGCTGCTATTTCTGTAAGTTTTAAAAAGTAATGTGAAGGAAGGGATTTTTAAAGGTGTGAGATGCCCATTTTCATTTATAGTCTGGATTATAATCTTAAAGGTAACTAAAAGATCATAAGAGTTTATAATTTGACATTTATTTCTGGCATACTTTGGAAATATCAACTTTGAGAACTTTAATGACTAGGTCATTAAGAGTCATGGAGTAGAAAAAAAATGTGGTAAATCATTATTTGGGGAAATGTTAGGTTTTAAAGAAATAACTAAATTTCCCAGAGGGGTGATTGAGAAGTACTGCCAGGTAGCATAGCGAAGAGATTGCTAGACTTGGAGTTTGGGCGATTTGGTTATAAATCCTTCTTCTGGTACTGTGTGAGCATGGACAAGTAATCACCTCTTTGAACTTCATCTCCCCATTGATAAAAGGTGGATAATATGTGGAGTTGTTTTTGGTTGTGAGGCTCAAATAAATAATATATGTAGAGCACTCTGCAAAATTTAAAGTGCCATACAACTCTTTTTTTTCTAGACGATGCAATAGATAAGAGGACCAGGCCTGAAGTCAGGAAGATCTGAATTCAAATCCAGCCTCAGATACTTGCTAATTGTATGACCCTGGGCAAATCACTTAACTTCTGTTTGCCTTAGTTCCTCATCTGTAAATTGGACACACTAGAAAAGGAAATGGCAAACCATTCCATTGTCTTTGTCATGGAATCATATACAGTCAGACACGTGAACAACAAAATGCCTTTTTTTTTTTTTTTTTTTTTTTTTTTGAGAGCAGCTGGGTGGCACAGTGAAGAGAGTGCTGGGCCTGAAATCAGGAAGATTCATCCTTGTGAGTTAAAATCCAGCCTCAGACACTTATTAGCTGTGTGACCCTGGGCAAATCACTTAACCCCTGTTTGCCTCAGTTCCTCATCTGTAAAATGAGCTGGTGAAGGAAATGGAAGACCACTCTAGTATCCTTGCCAAGAAAACCTCAAATGGGGTCCTGAAGAGTTGGATACAGCTGATTGACTAAATAACAGCTAAATAAATATGAAGCATAACAAAACTACCTTCTCACACAAACCTTATTAAGTTCTGGAAAACACACACCTTATAACAAAGCATTAATTCTGATAACGGTTTTTTTTAATAGGCAGTTGGGGTTAAGTGACTTGCCCAGGGTCACACAGCTAGTAAGTGTCAAGTGTTTGGTCTTAGGCTGGATTTGAACTCAGGTCCTCCATACTGATTTCTCAAAAGTAAGAAAGTTCTTGCTTTATTGAAATAGGATTATTCAGATTCCTGTGTTTCTACTTGTGCTGTTATCTTTATGTCTGATTGGTTAACTGCCACTCATCTCCTGGTTAGTGATTGTTCAGTGCCACCTATTCAACATTTCTGCCTTGCTGTTAGCTCAGTCTCAGTTTGAGCACCCTAAAACAAAAAATGGGGATCATGTTAATGGTAGTTTTTATAAAGGAGCATAGATTATGTTGATTTGAGTTTTGTTGTGAATGTAAGCTATGTTGGTAAACTTGTCTACTTTAATGTTTTTAGGGTATTCAAGCTCAAACCGTAGCAAATTTCTTTCTTGCCTTTGAAGCTCAGCTCTCAATAATTCCTGTTATAAACAAGGTAATTCCAAGAAGTACTGTGTAATTATATTTGTTTTTAAAATAACTGATGGGCTTATTAATGAGAGAGTTTCTCGTCCTCTCTCTTCCTAAGGAGTATAGTTTAAATGAAAATGAATTGCCTATAGTTAGTTAACAGGTATTTTATGTATTGCTTTCTAGGTGCACATACTGTACTAGGCACTGTATTGTATAAAAGAAGTATAAAATCTGATAGGAGAGATAAGACTAAAATGCTTTCATTGATCCCTTAATATATGTAGAATTCCTCGAATTAGAAGGGATGTTACCCATACATACATTAGAAAATAAAGTGCTAAATTATGTGCTTTTGAGCACTTTGTTTTGTTTTAATCTCAAAATTAGGAAATGGGATAACCTCCTTACATTATAAATCTAAAATGTAAAATTATGTGTGTTTGTTTTAATATGGAGGATAAGTTTGAAAAAGAATGGATTGTAAATTCCATTTGACAGAGTAGGTATAGTTGTGGAATCTGGAAAAACTATTTGCATTTTAATGATGGAACATAATAGATGCTCAGATGTTTACTAACATTTTTGTTGCCCTTATAAAAGCTTATCCTCCAGAAGGAGGTTTAAGATGTAGTAAATGTGGAGAAAAATTGATAGGAGTTTATAACAGGAGAAGTTAGGAAAGTTCCATTTGAGTAAATCCAGAAAGGTTTCATGGAGAAAGTGGATTTTGGATAAGGTTTGAAGAGATTTTGGCTTTTTAAAATGAAGTACTTAGGGATGGGAGTGGGAAAATTAGATGCCTGATAATTAAAAAGTAAAATGTAATTTAAAAAAGAAATATAGTACCTCATTAATTTTTATTCTATTAATTTGGAATTTGGTAATGTAGAAATTTTATTGCTAGAAGGTTGTCCACTAAATAGTCTTTTTAGTAATAGCAATCTAAGAAGGTGGCATAATTAGGTATAGAGGGTGCATTCTACATTGGTGTTAAGGTAATCATACCAGTGAAAACACTGATCTTTTGAAATGTTTGAAGAGTTAATTTGTAAACATTATGTAAATGTTACTAGTGCTTAATTTGGACTCAGTAATAGTTTGTGTTAAAGTATTAATTTGCATAATCAGTGGAATACAACGTACTTTGAAATTTGAGTTTGGAAGGAAAGGTAGAACATTTAAACTCTAAAAATCTCCCTGAACATACATCTATAAGTATGTTTTTGTTTTAGCATATTGAGATTTAACATTAATGTTTTATAGATAGATCTGAAGAATGCAGACCCTGAAAGGGTTGAAAAACAAATTGAAAAGATGTTTGACATCCCCAGTGATGAATGTATTAAGGTAATCTATTTGTGCTCTTTCATTTGCACTTTTATACCCATGGGGTAAAGTGGGCATGATTTTAACTTAATTATCATTGATGTCAGGAAAAATAGGTTCTGTTTTCATAAATTCAGTGGGATATTCACATTTTTGGAGACAAGTTGAATATTTGACCCATTGTTGACTTTCCATGTTATCCTGACCAAATTATTGAGTCACTATCTGATGATGTGGTATAGTAAAAAGAATACTTTGACCTGATCAGAAGATTTAGGTTCAATTGTTGCTCATAGTTAAGGTTGTTTGACCTCGAGGCAGTCATATAACCTCTCTGAGTCTTTCTGCATCTATAACTTAATTGGCAGATTTGTTGTGGAGAAAGTGATTTGTTAAAGTATTAAATGAATATGAGTAGTTGTTAAAGAAGGTATTTTTCCAAATATAGGGCACCCACAATTTTACAACTCTTTGAAAAGAAAACGTATGTCTATATACATCCATGCATTGGAAAAACAACAGAAATGATGAGCTGTACTCACATTTTATTCAAACCAAAGTTATGTTGGAAAGTACATTCTGATGGTGGCAAAGAACTGGGAATTGCAGGGATGCCTGTCAGTTGGGGAATAGTTAAACAAATTGTGGTATATGTTTATGATGGACTATTACTCTAAGAAATAATGAGCTCTTAATGATTTTAGAAAAGCATGGAGCAGGGGTGGGGAACCTGTGGCCTCAACACCACATGTGGCCCTCTAGTTCCTCAAGTGCAGCCCTTTGACTGAATCTAAATTTCACAGAACAAATCCCCTTAATGAAAAGATTTGTTCTGTAAAACTTGGACTCAGTTAAAAGGCCACACCCAAGGACCTAGAAGGCCACATGTGGCCTTGAGGCTGCAGGTTCCCCACCCCTGGGCCGTGGAGAGACCTTCTGGAAATAATGAAGAGCAAAATGGGCAGAACCAAGAGAACATTGTATACAGTAACGGCAATACTATTTTAAGAACAACTTTTTATGACCCAGTCATTCTATTACAAATACCCAAATTGACTGCAGAGATCCTATGAAGAAAGATGCTATTCAAATACACACATGTATAGGTATGTCTGTATGTGTACACACAGACATACAAACACATATACAGATTTGTGTGTAATGGATAGCCATCTCAAAGTTTTGGGGAGGGGTGGGGAATAAAGTTAGGTGATAACTTTGTTGTATATTTGAAAGAAATAGTAAGTTGTGTATATAATGGACCTGCAATTCCAGGTGCAATCCTTTATTTTTCTATCCCACTTTTTTATGGAAATGCTTGTTTTATTTCTTAAGTTCAGAATAAAATAAATTTTTTAAAAAAGAAAAAAATTTAAATAATTTTGTTGTATATTTGAAAGGAATAGCAATTTGTGCATAGTAGATTTGCAGTTTCATGTACAGTTGTCTTTTTAATTGTACTAATGTTACGGACGTACATGTTTTATTCCATATGGTAAAAATGAAATTTAAACAGAGGAAAAAAAAGAGATATACCTTAAAAAAAAGAAGTATATTCTGTGTTCCTATCCATGCCATATTTTCTAGTGATTTAGTCAGGATTATTTGGCTTGTATCTAAAAACCTTTTAAACATTGAATTGAATACTTAATAACTTAAAAGAATCTGTGGTTTTGATGTGGAGAATCATGATTTTATTAGTGCACATCAGCAGTCCACACCTGATGGGCAACTTTTATCTATGTCCTGTAAATTTTCTTCAGGGAGTCCTGGCTTCAGGGCTTAGTCTATATTTTCTGACATTGTTTGGGTACTAAAGCAGCCTTTGGTCTATACCAGTTAACATTTGCTCTTGCTAGTTAACTAGTCTACTTTTCCAGTTACACATTTCTTATGTCTTTTACACCTTTTTGTTTGTATAATTCATTATTTGTAATATCCTGCTTTGTTATTTGCATTTTGAATGACCTGCAATTTTGATTGGTCAGAGCTTCTGGAATTCATTATTTTCAGACTGATAGCATCATAGGAAAAATATTGGTATTAAATTATGGGGTTTTCTTTTTGGGAGAAACTTGTGGTCATTTAAGGTGCCAGCCAATTTCCTGAATGTATTTTGGCACAATCTTACTCCTATTCAATTCTAGGCCTGCTTCAGTGTCTATGTGTTTAAAAAATTGTATGTACTGATGAACCAGCTCTATGAACTTCCTATCAAATGGCTTATCACTGCATGGAAAATTTGCATTCTTATTCCACTTATTTTTTTTCCTGTGGATTGTTAAATTGAACTCAAGTAATTTTAGATCTCATTTAGAAAGCTCAAAAAGGCAATATTCAGATGGCTTAATTGAATTAGTGCAGTGTCACCTGCAGATGGCGCTTAGAAAACCTTACTATATGTAATGAAGCTTTTTTTTTTTTTAAATTTTGTGATGTACAGTACCCATGACAATCTCTAGCACAGGTATGGATCTCCTTGTATGCCTCCCTAGATCCTGATCATTATGTTCATTAAATTTTCACTGTTGCCTCTATCAGAGTATCTTGTACAATCTTAACTTGGCATGTGATACACCTAATTGGAGGAGAGCATTTAAGGATGCCGTTTGTTTCTACCAAAATAAATTTTTTTTATAGTCAACAAGCATAGTCGATTCTTATATTCTCTTTCTCTTCAGTTAAGTGCCTAAAAAGATGAGGTCTTCTATATAGTATCATTTGTGAAAGATTATCTCCTTATGTTTTCATCAAAAATGGCCTAAATATGTGAATAAATTATTCTTACAAAGATTTGAGTTGGTACTTATTGTTATCCTCTCCATTATTTAAAAAAAAATTGTGTGATTTTTTTTTTTTATCTTGTCCTCTTTGAGGGAGCTTTAGAATTGATTGTCTTGAAGCCCTCACACTTTCATTCCCTCTAGCACAAGCTTCTGTGATGCATACTTGGTCTGATCCAGCTTTTTTTCTGATATTTCTTTAATGCCATTTCTACCTACATATATAGCACATTAGAGTCTTTGAAGTTAAGAATGCAAATGTGGTAGTTCTACTGTCATTGATGGGAAAATATTGCATTGTATAAATCTTTATTAGTTCTTCACATTTTCTTTTGTCATCCAAATTTTATAATTAAATGTTCTTAGGATGAACTAACTCCACTGTATTTCAGATTATATATTTTATATAGATTATTTTTCTTCCACTGTTTCTCATAAAGAGCTGATATTACTCGTAATCATTCTTTGTAAGCTTTTACAAATAAGCTGCATATTCTATCAGATGTCAAGAATTCAATAAGTAACAGCCATACAGTCATAGGTATTTTGTCTTATTTTTACTTTTTATATTCTTTAGATTTCTGCTAAACTAGGAACAAATATAGAAAGAGTACTTCAGGCTGTCATTGAAAGGATAGCTCCGTGAGTATTTGTTTTATCCTTTCTAAAAGAATGCTGCAGATTAATTGCTGACCTGTATTAGTAGAGGGAATTCCTTATACTGGTGAAATCATAAGTCCAGTCCTTTTTTAAGCATATTTTTTATTGTATACATATACATGTGTATATATATAATGGAGTTTTTATTTTTATTTTCATGTTTCATAGACCAAAAGTGAGTCGAGAAAATCCCCTGAAGGCTTTAGTGTTTGATTCTACCTTTGACCAGTATAGAGGAGTGATAGCTAATGTAGCACTGTTTGATGGAGTTGTTTCCAAAGGAGATAAGATTGTATCTGCTTATACACAGAAGACTTATGAAGTTAATGAAGTTGGAATTCTGAGCCCAGATGAACAACGAACTCAGAAACTGTAAGTAACTAGTGCTGCAGATAGTTTTAATTTTTTTGTCTGTAAAAATAACTGAATTTTCAGTATAAAACCTTTTATTGATTACTTTATTTTTGTGATAGAGTGTTTAAAATGTTTTTAAAGTTAAGCTGGAATATTTCGAGAAATTCTTAGTTTAAAGTCAGCTTAATGTAGTCCCATTGAGTTACAGTGAAGAGACTGAGGCTGTAGTAGAATTTTGTATTTTATAAATTGACCTTTTAAAAACTCCTCATATAATGAAAAATGTTGGGAGTGGGTTGGATGGATGATCTCTTTAAAACTTTGCCTCTCAGCTATTAATGCTGATTCTATAGCTAATAATTTCCCAGAAAGCATTTTAACTGTATTTATAGAAATGTCTCAAATTATTCCAATGTCATTCCTTATTATAAATACAAGAATTTTTCATTATTGAGGATCATTACAGTGTTTTTTATTATATATAAGCCCCGGACATATCTAGGAACTTGCCTTTTTTCTTCCTTTTTTTGACCAAATCTGTGGCATTTTGTTTTGTCAGTTTGCTTCCTTCTTCTATAAGTCATGTATATGAAAAGAAAAATTGGGGCTAGTTGTGATTTTTTTTTTTTTTACTATACTTAACGTGCAACATTATTAGTTCCCAGTAGAGAGAAGCAGTATAGTGTGTTGGATTAAATGGTCAAATGCTGGGCTTAGAGTTAGGAACACCGGGGTTCAAATCTTGACTCTGACACTGAATAGTAACTTGGAAAAATTACTTAGCCCTGTGTGCCTCAGTCAGCACTTCAGGAGTTATTTCATAAGTCATGGTGGATTTTCTCTCTCCTTGATGGGAGTTTCATTATTTTTATATTCTGGAAGGGGAGAGGTCAGTGTCACAAGTCATCTTCACAGTTATTCTCAGTATCTTAGATATTCTTTTCTCATTTGGAAAGAGGAAGCCGTGGAATTATTGAGAGGTATGAAAATTGATCTTAAGGGCTTTTGCCCAGTTGGTGACTTCTTTATATGGACATACTTCAGACTTTGAGAATCAAGCCATTGATTATTTTCAAAAAGAAAAGGTTTGGGTTTGAAATAAGATGGTTTTTGTGTGATAGACGACCTAATGGTTATAAAACTTGAAACAAACAATATTATTTCCACATAACACTAATTTTATTTAGATATGCAGGACAGGTGGGCTATCTGATTGCTGGGATGAAAGATGTCACTGAAGCACAAATAGGAGATACATTATATTTGCATAAACAACCAGTGGAACCCTTGCCTGGGTTTAAGTCAGCGAAACCAATGGTTTTTGCAGGTGAGGAGTTCACAAGTTAAAAAAATTAGCACAATTTTTTTTATTCCCACTATATACTATGCAGCAAGAATAATTATAACAGATTTCATTAGTACAGTATCCAGTTATGCTATGAACTATTCATTTTAAGTTAATACCATTATTTGAGCAGATTTTTGTTCTACCTAATGAAATATCTTAAGATTTAAGTAGTTTTTAAAGAGATTAAATCCACAGTGGTTTTTAAACTTTCATCATCAAAAAGTGTTACCTAAATTATCCCAATAAATACATTCTGAAGTGCTGAAAGCTCTACTAATTTTAATTCAGCTCTTGTTTTAAAGAAATGAATCCCTTATGATAGTATTTTAATCTCAGTCTTCCCCAGGTAATAAAAGTTGATTTGGTCTAGATCTGTGATTTCATTGGTATAGGAAACTCCTAGTATGGAAGCCCTTTTGCCAGTTTAAGTCTGTAACTACTGAATATTGTCATCTGGGGCACTGATAAGTTAGCTGACTTAAGAGGTCACTCAAAAGATAGGTATCAGAGAACTTTGGTCTTAAAACCAAGTCTTTCTGACTTCAAGGCCAGTTGGAGTCAGAATGCCTCAAAATAATTTTATTTAAATAATGCTTGCTCATAATAGAAATAGGCAGAATATCTTGTTATCAGAATAATATATCCTTACTGCTTTTTTTTGGTTTTGCTCATGAAGAGAAGCATAGGTATGAGATAATAATGTAAGATGTAGAATTTGTGTGTTTGTGCACATCTGTATCTTCAGAAAATTTTTTTTTTAACTTAAGATCTGAATATGTGTGCTTTGTTCTGGTAATTCTCTTTAAATGAAAGATTTAATGGAAGTCACTTGTGAAGAACTAATTGAGTCAGAGCAGGGCAACTTTACAGTTCCTCTCTACTGTTCCCTTTCCTACAAATAACATGCTGGAAATGGGCTATTTTTTTTATTTTTCAGACCAACAAAACACTTAACTGAGTAGTATTTCTGGAGCAGGGTTTGAGAGTTTCAAAGGCTTCCCTGCTAAGGTATAAGCCAGGGGTGGGGAGCCTGTGGCCTCAAGACCATATGTGGCCCTGTAAGGCCTCAAGTGCAGCCCTCTGACTGAATCCAAACTTCACAGAACAAATCCCCTTCATAAAAGGATTTGTTCTGTAAAACTTTGACTCAGTCAAAAGGCTGCACTTGAGGCCTAGAAGGCCACATGTGGCTTTGAGGCCTCAGGTTCCCCACTCCTGGAAGCTATTTGTCAAGTAAGATTAAGACAATCCTGATCTGTAAGCAAAACAGGTATTTCAGGATACTGTCAGTAAACTGGAGCAGTTGTCTGTTTCCATTTTGGGTAGTCTTTGGTGTAATCAAGAGTTAACTGTATTAGTTTTCACTATTTATAAACATAATGCACATTGCACTTGACAGTTTACAAAAAACTTCCTCACTACTGTTTATTAGAGACTGTTACAAATTCATTTGTTGTGGAATATCTTCTTTGTAATCTTTAAGAATTGTGGTTTGTTTTTATGATAATTCATTCCCAACTTTAATTTCCTCAGCATTGGTAAAAATATTTTAATTGTTAGGGGGAGAATGTTATATGATAGTTGAACAGCAGAATGCTAGTGACTAAAGTTAGAAAGACATCTAGCATAATTTTATTTACATACTTTTAGTCAGTGATTGAAGAATATTTGTGTCTAATGAAATATGGGGGAAAAGGTGATGATAAATTCTTAGGATTAATGTATGCAGCATTATATCTTATACTAAGAGGTAAAGCCTGTTAGTATGATCTGATATGGTAAATGAAATGTATTATCAAATATTTTCACAGGAATGTACCCCATAGACCAATCTGAATATAATAATTTGAAGAGTGCTATAGAAAAACTGACACTAAATGATTCCAGTGTAACAGTACATCGAGATAGTAGCCTTGCCTTGGGTGCTGGTTGGAGGTGAGATTCGTTATGCATTTATTTTTATTCAGAATTTTAATTGATTAAGCATTTATTAATCATTGACTATGTGCTCTGAGCTAAGTGAAGGAAGCACCAGGAATACAAAGACGAAAGATGCCCTGCCTTTAAGAAACTTAGGTTCTATAAGAGGAGATATGTACATATATCGCATACATAATAAATACACGGTAATTTTGTGGGGAGGTACTAACAGAAACAGCCTCCTATAGGAGGTGGCTTCTAAACCGACATTTTGAAATTTGGCATTCTTAAAGACAACAGTGTGGAAGGAGTGCATTTCTCTCCCACACATGGTTGACAAAACTGCAGAGATATGGAATTGGGAGATGGAATAGTTCTGTGTGAGAAACGGTAAGAAGGCCACTTAGACTGTGCTAAAGAATAGGTAAAGGAGGGTACTTTGTAAAAAGCTGTAAAGTTGGGTTCGAGCCAGGTTGTATAATTCTTTAAATGCCAAATTTAGGGGTTTATATTTGATTCTAGGTCACAGGGAGCCTAGAGTTTAATAAGTCTGCGGAATGACAACATAACACATGTTTGCTTTAGGAATGTCCTTAGCAGCTAGGTGGATGATGGATGAGAGGGAAGAGATTAGAGGCAGGGAGATTAATTAGAAGGATGTTGGAATAGTTCAGGGAGGGTGAAAAGGATCTGAAACAAAAGTAGTGTCCATATGAGTGGAGATAAAGGAATAGACAAAAAGATGTTCTAGAGAGAGAAATTATGAGATTTGGCAACTAATTGAATTCGTGGGATAAGTTGTATATATTGATTGTATTTTTTAAAATGTTTTAAAGTAATATCACTCAAAACAAGTGTTAAGGCATATACAATTGGAAGACCATAATTTTATTTTATTTTATTTTTTTCTAGGTTGGGGTTTCTTGGCCTTCTACATATGGAAGTTTTTAATCAACGGTTGGAACAAGAATATAATGCTTCTGTTATTTTGACTACACCTACTGTCCCTTATAAAGCTGTTCTTTCATCAGCAAAGTTAATAAAGGTACTTAAAATTTATAATCCTGAAACTAATAGTACTTCTGTGACCAGTATGGTTATATATTCTGCATTGTAATAGTTGGAGATGTAAAGTCAATTTTGAATTTTAACTTATGAAGAGCAAATTCGCTTTATTTTCCTTTTCAGTAAAATAAAGAATAGGAACAATTACTTTACAGAACTCTATCACATTACTAGTAATTATGGAAGAGCAAAATTCCAAGAATTCTTCTTCCTAACAGTTTAATATAGGCCTTATCTTAACTTTTAAAATAATTCCATGTATTACATAAAAGTATTCTTCATTGAAGTCTTTCACTGGGAAAAAATGTAGATTTGCCTAGAAAAACGGTGTTGTTCTAAGTGGAACTAGTAATTGAAAATAAAAATTAAGAATTTTTTTTGGCCAAGATTTATTGCTTTTGTAAAAAGTGAAAAACATGGCAGAGAACATTAATTTTTGGAGTCAACAGTATAAGCAATATGTTCCTTCTGAATTGCGATCTTTTTCTTTTGAGCAAATTTTATTTTGTAGTCTATAAAAGATGTACATTTGCCTTAAATTCTAGCAGTGGCTGAATGATTCGCCTCCAAATCAGGAAAACCTTGGTTCATTGATACATACTGAATATATTATCATGGTTGACTCAAGTTCTTAAGAGGTCAGGCCTCTTGCTCAGATTTTAACACAGACTAATTATTTGTTTGCATTGATGGAGGATATATCTGAACAGTAGTTCAGTCATCAAGCATTTATTGTCTGCTTATGTGTCAGGCACTTACTGTCTACTTATATGCCAGTTGTTTGGGATACAAAAACAGAAGTGTGATATAATCCCTGACTTCAAGGAGCTTATATTCCAGAGGGATAACTGCATATCCATAGCACAGTAAATACAGGTAAATAAAAGATGCTTTTAGAAATGAAGTGTTTAACTAAGGAAATCAGGAGAGGCTTCTTGTCAGTGCTATTATTAGACCTTATCATTAAAGGAAGCTAGAGTTCAAGAGGTAAAAAGTGGGAGAAAGTTTCAGAGTTAGGGACAGTCTGTACAAAGAAAGAGAGATAGGAAATGTAATATGTACAGGGAGCAGCATGCAGCTAATTTGATGGGGATTTAGAGTATATGAGGATAGTGTGTATATATAAAGCATAGTGTAATCAGTCTGAAAAAATAGGCTCAAACCAGATTGTAAAAGGGTTTTACGTGCCAAACAGTATAGTTGATATTTTGTCTTAGAGCTACAGGTAGCAACTGAAGTTTATAGATTTTAAAAGACATTAATTCGCCACATTATACATCTGGACTGGGGAGGGGGAAACACATTTGCCTTACTATTAAATTAGGTTGAGAATCATTTGCATGATTATTATAGGGGGCAAGTTAAATTTTATATCATAATACACTTTGCTTTTCATTTTTTATACATAGAAGGCATGAATAGTTGGTACTTTCAAAATATTTGTGTGGACACATACGTAAGTATATATACATATATATGTTATATGTGGGTATCATCAATAATGAGTTATCAACTTAAGTGATTATAAATTTGGGATTTAGTGTTGAGTAATAAGCAAAGCAGACAACCAGTATTTCAAGAATCCTAAGATCATGGCTCTATAAGTGATCCTCTAGACTAAGTTCTACATTTGACAGTGGGAAAACTGACTTACAGAGGTTAAGTAATTGGTTCTATGTCACACAGGTAGTAAATAAATTGCACACCAGGATTCAAGTCTAGCATTCATTTTATTCCAAGTTACTTCAGATTCTAATAAAGAATGCAAAATTTTGAGAAATAAATTATGAGACTACTTTGGAAATATTTGTAAGTCATTGATTTTCTCCATTTTCAGGAATATAGAGAAAAGGAAATTACAATCATCAACCCTGCCCAGTTTCCTGATAAGTCAAAAGTAACAAAATATTTGGAGCCGGTTGTTTTGGGTACCATTATAACACCACATGAATACACTGGAAAAATAATGACACTTTGCCTGGTATACACATAATACAATTAAGTGCTTAACTCTATAACTTCACCTGATTTCTTGCCTCACTCCAGAACAGTACTGTATCATTTTAAATTAAACATGATCATATTTTTAAAAGAATGCACATCTAAAATTAATGTTTTCATTTGCTATATGATAGTACAAGATTTGCTCATAAATTTAGTGATTGAAAACTTTGGAAGCAAATGTGACATAAAGTATTAGCAACTTTGTTCTAATAGAATTATTGTTATTATTCAGATAGTGTAATATAATGGAGAAAGCATTGGACTTGGAGTTTGGAAGATCGAAGTTTAAATCCTACTTCTTTGACATTTACTAACTGTGATTCTGGGCAAATCACTTAGCTTTTCTGGGTCTAAGCTTCTTCATCTATAAAATTAGGTTTATATATAAAATGTAAAACTGTGTCATAGAGTTGTGGGGTTCAACTGATTTTATAGATGTGAAGTTTATTGTAAAACTTAAAGTGCTTTGTAAATGTCAGTAATTACTTGATCTAACTGCATGTATAGTTAACCTGACTATGATTGTTTTTGAGGTATGAGTGATATCTGTTACCTTCATTCTGCACATCAACTCAAGGCTGTTACCCCTCACACTAGAACCAGAAACTTGAGAGGTACACAGGCATATAAGAATTAAAAGAAAACAATGACAGTAAACTTCTGACTTCTGTAAAAAGCAGAAATGAGGAAAATAGATTTTAGTAATGAAAGTATTAGATATTAAGGCCACATGGAATATGGTGAGATTAAACCTAGATATTAGCTTTAGCACTAGTAAAGATGAGTTTTATTGAAGAGTAGAGACCAACCAGGGTTAAGGCAAGTTTAAAATAAAAATGACAGCTCTCACCAAAGCCAAAAGAAGGTAAGAACTTTATTCACAGTAAACTGTTTACATTCTCCCCTCCCCTCCCCCTTCCTATTTCCCCAGTAAAGTTCCTCTTGAAAAATCCCAACCTTGTCCTGGTTTAGTGCTGAGCTAGGTGACATAGTGGATAAAGTACTGGACTTGAGGGTCAGGAAGATATAAATTTGAATCCTATAAGAAACTTAAAACCTGTGTGACCATGGACAAGTAATTTAACTTCAGTATGCCTCAGTTCCCATATATGTAAAATGAGGGGATTGGACTCATTGGCCTATATGTCTCCTAATTCTAAACATGTAATCTTAAGACTTTGGAATCAGGAACACCTGAATTTAAATCCTGCCCTCATGCTTTTACTACCTCTGTACTGGGCAGATCACTTACCCTGTCTGAGCTATTTCTGAATCTAAAATGTAGATGAGAAAGGCACCTTACTTTCCTGGGTTCTTAAGTGTAAAGCGCTTTACAGACTTTCTGACTACTACGTACATAATTATTATTATTACATATATTTTTGTTTCTTTAAATATTTACCAATTGCATTTTAAAAAGTATTTAACTTTTTTTTTTGGCTTTTTGGTGAGGCAGTCGGGGTTAAGTGACTTGCTCAGGGTCACACAGCTGGTAAATGTCAAGTGTCTGAGGCTGGATTTGAACTCAGGTCCTCCTGACTCCAAGGCTGGAGCTCTATGCATTGCACCACCTAGCTGCCCCAGCTAAAGGATTTTTTTTTAAATTTAATTTCAAATTCTCTCCCTCACCTACCCCTTGAGAAGGCAAGCAATATATTAGTTATATATATGAAGTTAGACAAAACATTTCCATGCAAAGGAAAACAAAACAAAATTGAAGTGAAAAAAAGTATGCTTTGGTCTGCCCTTTGAGTTCACCTTTGAAGGTGGAATTATCTTGGATCATTATATTTATCAGCAGTTAAGTCTTTCACAGTTGAATCGTCATTACAAAATTGCTGTTACTGTGTATAACAGTCTCCTAATTCTGCTCAGTTCACTTTGTATCAGTTCATAAAACATTTCCCAGGTTTTTCTGAAACCACTCATGCTTGTCATTTCTTATAGCACAGAAGTGTTCCATCATAGTCATATATTACAACTTGCTTAGACATTCCCCAATCAATGGGCATCCCTTCAGTTTCTAATTCTTTGCCATCATAAAAATACCTGCCATAAAGATTTTTGTACAAATAGGTTGTCTTCCCTTTTCTTTGATCTCTTTGGGATATAGAGTATGTACAGTTCTGTAGTTCTTTGGGCATAGTTCCAAATTGTTTTTTTTTTCTCTCTCTCTTTTTAGGCAGTTGAGGTTAAGTGACTTGCCCAGGGTCACACAGCTAGTAGGTGTCAAGTATTTGGTCAGAGGCTGGATTTGAACTCAGGTCCTCCTGACTTCAGGGCTGGTGTTTTTTCCACTGCGCCACCTAGCTGCCCCAAGTTCCAAATTGTTCTGCAGAATGATTGGATCAGTTTACAACTCCAACAACAGTGCATTAATGTCCCTGTTTTTCTTGAGTCCCCTCTAGCATTTGTCCTTCTCCTTTTCTGTCATCTTATTCAATCTATATTTCTTAACAGAATTATGAGGAAGGGTGATTTATTCACACTTAGGCCAGGCTAGAGGGAATTCAGGCCCCTTGTACTCAGAACTACATGGCTATTTTTGAAGTTAAGATGCTAATAGAATTTTCCTGCACACCAGGTTTTGTTTAAGTAGAATTTTTAAAAGTAATTTTAAGCAAGGGATTTACATATTTTTTCAGTAATCAATATGAGTGGCTTGTGACTATACTGTATTTTGTATTTTTTAGGCTCGAAGAGCAGTTCAAAAAAATATGGTGTTCATTGATCAGAATCGAGTTATGCTTAAATACCTCTTCCCTTTGAATGAAATTGTGGTGGATTTTTATGATTCCTTGAAATCTCTTTCTTCTGGATATGCTAGGTAAGTATTTTTTGTGAGAAATAAATTTAGACATTTTCTTTTAAGAGTATAATAACATTTTATTTTTCCAAGGTGTTTCTTATCAGGCATTCTCAGTTTTCTGTAATACAGATGAGAATCTAAATTTTGATTTATAAGAAGTTAAAATCATTGTCAGAGTACCAAGAATGCACTGTAATTATGGGAAGATGTCAGTTTTCACTCAGAACCTATGTAGTCTCACCTTCTCCACAGTTCTACCAGTTGGCTTGGCTTATCTGGTTTCTTAAAAGGTCAACAGCACATAAGAAGCAGCAAATTAAGGTGGGGCAGAGTGAGAGGCGGGCACACAGACAACAGGAAGTCCTAGTACTAACAGCAGAAGAAAACAGAAAAGCCAAAAGTGAGACTGCTGTCTTTTATTACAGGAGCAAGCATACTGATAAAGCTCAGTAATTAAGTACCTTATAGTAATAATGATCCCTGTATCAAAGAAAAGGCTATATTCATTTTACACTTAGAAGTGAGAGGAATGTATAATGCATTTTAGAAAAATTTCTATCTAAAAAGCTAAAATTTCCCTCAAAAATTGATGGAAAAATATGCTTTAGTTAGTGAAAAATGAACTTATGAAGAATATCTAATTTCCCACTAATTACTAATAAATGAATTGAGATTACTGTCTTTTGAGTAATTATGGAACACTCCCTCCAGTTTTTATAAAATCTCTCCTGATTATTTTGCCTTTTTTTCCTTTGTGGGATTTATTCTAATTAGTCTGTCACAGGTTTCTTCTTTATGGCTTCCTTGGTTAAAATTTTAGTGACAAATGTTTAAAAATTATTGATACCTATTATTTTTGCAACACCTATTTCAAAATTCTTTGTAGCAAAGTACATCAGACCTAAAACAGCACATTAAATGAGTAGAATTTTGAGCAGATTAGAGATGCCTACTGTTGTTTAATACTTTAAAAGATGGCTTTAAAGACAATTGAAGGCTAGTGTGTTCACAAAGATTATGTAAATAAAACACTTAAGTTTTTTTTTCCTATCATAATTTGTTTTTAGAAAATTAATCATATATTTTCCAAGTAATTTTTTTAAAAATCCTTTAGCTGGGGCAGTTAGGTGGTGCAGTGGGTAAAGCACCAACCCTGGAGTCGGGAGGACCTGAGTTCAAATTCAGCCTCAGACACATAATACTACCTGACTCTGGGCAAGTCACTTAAACCCAATTGCCTCACCAAAAACAAGAAAAAAAATCCTTTAGCTATAGGATCTTAACTTGATTCCAGGCTTAATTAGAACGTGTGTTTTTGTAGTGTAGCTGAAATTAAATGATTAAAATTTGAAAATTAAGATTCATAAATATACTAGCAGGTCCTGACTTAAAAACATCTAAAACATGATCAGCAAGATATAATGAATGAATGATGAATAAATAAATAATACAGGATTTAGGAGGATTTGAGTATGAGACCCATCTCACAAGAATTTAAAAGCTTGTGTTACCTTAGACAAATCACTTAAATAAATAGAAACTCAGTTGCCTGTAAAACAGGGATAAACACCTTCACTGTTTAGATATAATATGCTATTATGTAATAGTTGTAGATGTGTCCAACCAACCAGGCATTTGCCTGGAATTTAGAATACTAGTTTTGTGGATAGCAAGTGGAGTCTGAAGGGGGCAAGGATTTTTTTGATGCTGGGTACCAGCTCATAAAATTTCTAGTAGAGATATTCTCTATTCTCCACTGGGCAGAACAAATTATCTGCCCAGCCAAAGAGCAGATATCAAGGCATCTCAAATTATGATTCATGGGAAACACAGTTTAGTGGAAAATAAATGCACAAAGACATGGAACAGTCTGTGACCTCAAAGAGCTTATATTTTATCAGGGAGACAACATGTCCATCTGTTAAGCATATAAAAATTAAATACAAGGTTAATTTTGGGGTGGGAGCATTAGGAGCTGGGCTGTATGTTGAAGGTGGTGATTATCAAGAAGAATAAATCTTGGAGATAAAATAAAAGGGCATTGGAAAGGAAACCCTCATTTAAAACAAAAGTAAACTTGTGTTGTTTAAACACAAAGCTAAACATCTGAACTGCTGGAATCCAAAATCACAAGGACAATACATTTTAATCCAGTGGAAATCTGCCTCTGATCTGTGCTACCTATATGACCAAGAGCAAGACATTTAACTTTGCTGGGTCTTAGTTTCCTCATCTCTATAATGTGGACGTTAGACTCTTACTTCTTGGATCTCTTATTTGTAGGTCTACACGATCTATGATTGATGCCCCTATTGAAAGGAACTAACATTTCTTTTGTTTTTTGGTTTACTCTTACTTCCAAAGATGAAAGCTGGCTAAGAAACAGATGGCTAAATACTGCTCCATGGTCAATTTAAATATATATATGTATGTATGTATGTATGTGTGTGTGCATATATAAAATATGAAATTTTTATTTTCATGTCATCAACATTTCCTGAAGCAGATTTCTATTGGCTACTGAAAATATAAAGTCCTCTGCTTTTAAAGCCCTTTACAGCCTTCCCCATTCTGTTTTTCCAGCCTCACTGGATGTTATTCTCCTCCTGCACTCTCTGATCCAGCCAAATTGGCCTTCTCTATACTCAACACCTGACATTCTGTTTCCTGTTTCTGTGTCTTTGCACTGCTAGTGCCCATTCATGGAGGGCTGGGAGTGGGGATGGGACGGTGTGAGGAATGCTCATCCTCCTCACTTCTACCTCAGAATCCCTTCCCTTCCTTAAAGATAAAGAGTTCCAGTACTACATTCTACATGAAGCCTTTCCAAGATCTCTCAGTTGATAGTATCCTCCCTCTGAAACTATCTTTTGTTACTCATATATAACTATATAATTGTCATTATATTCTGTATATATGTAGATATCTACTTATCTCCCATATTAGAATGTAAGCCTTTTTCTAACGAGTTTATTTCTTGTATTTGTGTTTCCAGGACGTAGCACAGTATCTGGCAAATAAGTGCTTAATAAATACTCACTGTTGATCCATGGTCCCCACTTCCACAAAGATGAGAAAGGGCTGTTTTCATGCTCATCTTTGAGATGAAGTTTGGTTATTATGATATTGTAGCATTGTTTTATTTTGTCAATTGTTATAGTCATGAGGTGTGTTGTTTTTCTGGTTGGGCTTAATTTTACATTAGTTTATATGTCTTCCCATCCTTCTCTGTATTCATATTTGTTACAGCACAGTAATATTTCATTGCATTTGTGTATCACAGTTTGACTAGCATCTACTGTATTTGCAGTTTTGTATGAAATGTGTTGCTATAAGTATTTTAGTATATATGAAGCTTTTCTGTCACTGCTTAGCAAGAGAATGTGTCCTGTATGCCTAACAAAGAATCTTTGGATCAAAGGGTATAGAATAGATATTTTAATCTTTCTTCTCATAGTTCCAAACTGAATGGTTGTGTCTTTCCACACGACACTTCCAACACCAACACTGACATCTTTTGTTTCAGAAGTTTTTGTTGCGTGTTGACGTGTTTATGTTTTGCCCCATCTACCAAACTACTTTTAGACATTTGATTATTCAGCCCCCAATTCTTCCAACATGGAACCCCTCCCTGTTCAACTGATGTGGCCTTCACAGAAAGAGAACTTAAGAGTAAGAGGAAGGTTTACGGTGATGGTATTATTGGGGTAGCAAAGAAGGCCTAGCAGACAAAACAGGGAAGTCAGAGGGCCTGGATTAAATCCTACCCGTGCCTCTTACTATCTGGCCTTCAGTTCCCTTCTCTGTACAATGAAAAGTTTGAACCAAGTTTCCTTTCAGCTCCATACCTTATCCTGCAAAAGCTTTTGAATTAAGTTCAGTGGAAACATTGTGTGCAGTCTCATAAAAAGTTATAGCCCTGGTACCTCTTTTTTTTTTTTTTCTTTTTGCAAGGCATTTGGGGTTAAGTGATTTGCCCAGAGTCACATAGCTAGCGAGTATCACATGTCTGAGGCTGGATTTGAACTGGGGTTCACCTGACTCCAGGGCTGGTGCTCTATCCGCGGTGCCACCTAGCTGCCTGCCCCAGTACCTCTTAGGTGTTCCTTTAGTCTAGAACTATAGAGTATATATTTTAATATGAAGCCAGAGATTTTGATATTGTATTTTCCTGTCTGTTTCTTGTTTGGTAGGAAATAAAAATACTTGTTAACCATATAATTGTTTCCTCCATTAGTTTTGATTATGAAGATGCTGGATATCAGACTGCAGACCTGGTAAAAATGGATATTCTGTTAAATGGCAATCCTGTGGAAGAGTTGGTAACAATTGTACACAAGTAAGTTGCATAGGGTCCAGTTATCTGTAATTAAAAGAATCGCTTTTTTCTAAGGTTTTTAGTTTTACTCAAATTTTATTTATATAAGCTTTTATAACCACAAAGGAAAATTATCTTTAAAGAAATTGTATACTTGGGATACTTCATAGAATCATAATTTTAAGAGACCACAGAGGCATGTAGTTTAATTTTAATTTGTAGAGTAGTTCCATTTACAATACAGCTGATGGTTCATCCTTTGCTTGAAGACCATAAAGAAGAGGAATCTGTTACCTTCTAAGTGCACGAAAATTTTCTAACTAAATTTTAAACTAAAATTTCAAACTAAATTTGCATCTTTCCTATTTCTACCTTTTGTTCCCAGGTGTGCCATCTGGAACCAAGCATGACAAGTATAATCCCTTTTTGAATCTGTCTTAATTATTTTGTGTATACTAAATATCTCCCAGTTTCTTCAGCTGAGTTTCCGTGGCATGATCTTGATATTCTTTACCAATTGCTGAATGTTCTCCCAAAATGTCTTCAGAATTGAGCACAGTATTCCAAATGTGATTTGATCAGGGAAGAATACATGGTGGGACTATCATCTTTACATTCCTAGACAGTTACATCTTTCTTGATTCAGTATAGAGATCCTCTCTTCTCCAATATGCCTGTCCTTTGTTTCTACCTATTCCCAAACAACTTGGAGGAGAAACTAATGATAGAAAATTAGGATGCTTATGCCAATAGTTATAGCAGTTTTGTGTTTACACACATAGCAGGTTTTTAAAAATGAATTAAAATTGTAGCACGAAGAATTTATGTTTGAAAGCAAGTGAATTATGAAACTTGAATTCTTGGTATATTCAAATCTGATTTTTATCTAGCTTTGGGTTATGTATTTTCTTAAATTTTGATTTCCAAATTCTCTCCCTCTCTTACCCCTAGCCCACTTATTGAGAAGGCAAGCAATATATCGATTATATATGTGATATATAACCTATGTCATATTGCTTGCCATCTTGGGGAGGGGAAGAGGAAGGGAGGAAAAAGCTTTGGAACTCAAAATCTTATAAAAGTGAATGTTGGAAACTATCTTTACAAGTAATTGGAAAAAATAAAATACTGTTAAGTGGGGAAAAATTATACATGTGAAATCATGTAAAACATATTAGCCATGTGACCCCCCCAAAAAAAAGTGGAAAAAAAAATTATTGCAATTTGCAATCAGAGTTCATCAGTTATCTGGAGGTGAATAGCATCATGAGTCCTTCAAAATTGTCTTGAGTCATTGTCTTGATCAGAGTAGCTAAGTCTTTTACAGTTGATCAGTGTTACAGTATTGCTGTTACTATGTAAAATCTTCTGGTTCTGCTTATCTCATTCTGCATCAATTCATATAAGTCTTCCCAGGGTTTTCTGAAACCATCCCCTTGTAATTTCTTAGGGTAACAGTAGTATTCTGTCACAATTATATATTACAACTTAATCAGGTATTCCCCAATTGATGGGCTTCCCTTCAATTTCCAATTCTTTGCCACTACAAAGAGAGTAGTTACATAATATTGTACAAATAGGTCCTTTTCCCGTTTCTTTGATCTCTTTGGCATACAGACCCAATAGTGGTATTGCTGGGCCAAAGGATATGCACACTGTTACAGCCCTTAGGGTATAGTCCCATATAGTTTGCCAGAATGATTGGATCAGTTCACAACTCTGCCAGCAGTACATTAATGTCCCTATTTTCTCCCATTCTCTCCAGCATATCCATTTGCTTTTCTGTCATGTTAGCTGAAAAATGCCTGTTCATATCTTCTGACCATTTATTAATTGGGGAATGACCTGTATTCTTACACATTTGATTCAGCTTCCTATATCAAAGAAACTAATCATAAGAAATTTTACATTACTTCTAATATTCAGCTTTTTTTTAAACTTGTTTTCTTTTTGCTAATTTTGTTTTGTCTGAAATCATGTTTGCTTCCCCTGCCTTATACCTCAGCTGAAGCATAATAGATCCTGCTTCAGTTCTTTCTTTTAACTCTGTGTCTTTTCTGTTTCTTGTAAACACATTGTTGGATTCTGGTTTCTAATCCATTTTGTTCTCTGCTTCTATGGGTGAGTTCATTCCATTCACATTCACAGTTATTATCAGTAACTGTATATTTCTCTCCATTCTACTTTCTTCTTTTCTTCATACTGCCTTCATCCTTCTCTACTTACCCTGTCCCTCCTCAGGTCTTTTTTTTTTTCTGTTTTCTTTTTGTTAAAAAATGAGGAAGGATATGGGGAGTTGGAATTTATATGCCAAGTTCAGCACATAGCCTCATGCTTCACAATTTTGCTGTTAGATCTCAGATTGATATAAATTCATCTGGGTTTTTTGATCAGTATAAGGAAGTTCTCCAATGTGTGTACTGTAGTAAATAGCAGCAAAATAACAAAACAAAATACATTGCCAAAAGCAGCTACTGCTTGTGCCTTTAGAATACTAGTTGCAGATATTTAAAAAAAAAAAAAAACACCCAGAGAATTTGTGCCATCACTGCTGAATTAATAGCTATTCTGAGGAATGGAGTAGCTAAATTATTTTCTGCTGTACAGTTCAAGGCATGATAGTAAAAAACTAGAAACTCCTCATACAATAAGATTAGGCAATTATTCATTACGTTTTCTGGAAAAGAAAAAAAAACACTACAAATTTTCAAGTAGGGTACAGACATGCCAGCATTACATTTAGCACTCTGGAGGCACATTTCAGGTAATATGACAATGATTCTGGTAAGACCAGCTGCTTTTACACGCACACACGTACACAGTTTTTAATGGTTTAAAAAACTCAGATTTGTTACTTTAGAAAAAACGTATGCAGTGCGTTTTCATCAGTATTATCACCACAGCTCTGATTGCTCAGTCCAAACAGAAATAGTAGTTTCCTCATATGTTCATGTGGCTTCTCGGCACTAATTCTCCTCAGGCCAAAAAATGTTGTGGCAGGTTTAGTCTCAGGTCTCTTTTGCTTCTGATTACTGCTTTTCTTATCCACCCTCTCTTTTATCACTCCATTCTTCCCTTTTTCTTATCCCCTTTCCCTCCTACTTCCTTGTTAGGCACCTGAGAGGTGTGTATATGTATTTTCTTCCCTCTTTGAACTAATTCAGATGAGTGTGAAGTTCAGGGGTTGCCCACCACCCCCACCTCATTTTCCTCTTCACTGTTAAAAGCTCTTCTTTTCATGCCTCTGTTATGTGAGATAGTTTTCCCCATTCCTCCTCTCCCTTCCCCCTTCTCCCAGTGTATTCCTTTCTCACCTCATCCTTTTTTTTAAATACCATCCCAGCAGAATTGACTCACACCTATCCCCTCTGCTTTTATAGAAACTTCTAACTGCCTTAATAATGATAAAGTTCTTAAGTTACATGTATCATCGTCCCACATAGGAATCTAAACAGTTTAACCTTACTGAGTCCCTTATGATTTCTCTTTCATGTTTCTTTTGTGTTTTCATTTCTCTTTTTGTGCTAGAGTCTTGTATTTGGCAGTCAAATTTTCTATTCATGTCTGGTGTTTTATATCAGGTGTGCTTTAATGTTCTGTTTCATTAAGTGTCCATTTATTCTCTTGAAAGCTTATGCTCAGTTTTGCTGGTTAGCTTATTCTTGGCTGTAATCCTAGCTTCTTTGCCTTCCTTTCTGGCTGCTTGGCAATATTTTCTCCTTGACCTGGGAGCTCTGGAATATGGCTATAATATTTTATATTATAAAGCAGCTGTTTTTATTTGGGGATCTCTTTCAGGAGGTGATAGGTGGAGTCTTTCAGTTGCTGTTTTACTCTATGGTTTAGGATATCAGGCTAGTTTTCCTTTACAATTTCTTGAAATAAGTTATCTAGGCTCTTTTTGTGTTCATGGCTTTCAGGTAATCCAGTAGTTCTCAAATTATCTGTCCTTGATATGGCTTCAAGATCAGTTTTTCCAATCAGATATTTTACATTTTTTTTCTATATTTTCCTTCTTTTGACTTTATTATTTCTTGATATTTTACGTAGTCATTAGTGTCTATTTGCTCAATTCTCATTTTTAAAGAATTTTCTTCAGTGAACTTTTGTACCTCATTTTCCTTTTGGCCAGTTCGGCTTTTTAAGGAGTTCTTTTCTTCAGTGACTGGACCCTCTGATGACTCTGGAGGAAATCCAATTCACACAAATTTTTGTACCATTTGACCAATTATGATTTTTAAGGTGTTATTTTTGAGTGGTTTTTTTGTGCCTCTTTTATCATGTTGTTTATTCTCTTTTTATAATTTTCATCCATCACTCATTTCTTTCCCTAATTTTTCCTCTACCACTCTTCCTTTCTTGAAGTCTTCTAGGAATTCTTGTTGGGCTTGTGTTCAATTAACATTTTTTCCCCCTTTGAGGCTTTGTTTATAGCTTTTGCCTTTTGAGTTTGTGTCTTGGATCTTTCCTACCACTGTCTTTTTATGATCAGGTTCTTTTTTTGTTGTTTTCATTTTCCCAGCCTACTTCTTGATTTTGAACTTCAGGTTCTGCTCACCTGGCGGGGGGGGGGAGGCACTGTCCCAGACCTCAGGTTTTGTCATGCTGCTGTTTTCAGAAGTAGTTCTGGGCATCTGCAAGTTTTCTGTGTTTCTAAAGGTTATTGCGGAGAATGTGTAATCCCTGTTTCCCTGAAGCCACAAGCACTAGCACTCCTCTCTGCCTTGTAGCTGTGACCCAGAATTCCAGGTGGGCAATGGAGTTGCCAAACATTGTGTTATCCTGCACCCAGTGTCAGGTCAGGGTCCCCTGTAATTTCTTTCTGCTGTCACTGCAACCATGTTCAAGCTCCACCACTGGTGTTGCTGCCATGTGTGCTCTAGGATGGCCCCCACCGTGTGTCACAGATATTTCCGATGAACCTCCCAAATTGTTTCCAGCTGGAAAAAGTCTTAGCCTAGCCTTTTGTTGACTATGCTACTACAGAATTCCATTTGATTTGTTATTTTAAAGTTGTCTGGAGCGGAAAGTTGAGAGAGTTCAGCTGGGTTGCTGCCTCTACTTTGCCATTTTGGCTCCCACTAGTTTTGTTTTACACTCATGTTCGAGTATAACAAAAAAGAAAAAATCACAGTTCCTTGTTATATTGAGAATACTTGTGGATGTCCAGAGTTACTGTTCTAAAAGATGATTTCAAATACTTTGATTTTAGATATGTAACCTAAAAAAGTTATAACATGCCCTTTACTCTTTCAGAGAAAAGGCACATCCTATTGGAAAAAGCATATGTGAACGGCTGAAGGATACAATTCCTAGACAACTATTTGAAATAGCTATTCAGGCAGCTATTGGAAGTAAAATCATTGCCAGAGAAACGTGAGTTAAAACTAATGTAGCTAAATGTTCATCTCTGGGCTTACTTGGAGAAAAAATAGCTTTTTCTTAGTGTACATATACATGGGGAGGGGGAGAATTTACATAAAAGTTTTTTTAAATCATGGTGACGTGCAAATTTTTCAGGAAACTTTTTTATAATCCAGAATGTGATTTTTAGAACTCCATCATTATGTGTTGGTGCTTTTTAAATACTAAGGTTCATTCCAAAATAGGTTATTAAAATAAGAATTTGGGCTGCCTAAAGCAGCTAAATGTTTTCTATTTAAAGATAATTCTACTGATGTGCTCATAGGAGGGGTGGGTTTCATTCAGCTAACATTTAATGAATACCTTTCAGCAAAATACATTTCCATAAGGACCATGTCCAAAAGGTTTTCCATTAGTTTCGATGGTTTGAGTTAAAGTGTGTGCTAAATCCTAGGCTTTCACATAGGTACTTGAATTGAGAATACAACCTGTGATGAATTATTCCACTAAGTTGTGATCTCATTAATATCATAATTGATCAAGTTTTAAGAAGCTCAACAAGAACAAAAATGTTTTTTAGTTCCATGTTTTTGTTTTAAGTTTTAAGACTTTCTTGCCAATTTCAAAATGAAAAGGCAAATTTTAAATAATGGAAAGAGCATTTAGACTTGGATTCAGGATTGGGTTCAAATTCCTATACCAGCTACTTCAGTGGCTTTATATGACTGGTAAAATGAGCAGTACTCCTTTAAATCTATGTACTCAGCATCCGATTAAGTCATTTGTAATAAATGCACATTTATCCCAGCCTTACTGGATGTTAATGTAAAATATTTCCTTTTACAGTGTGAAAGCTTACAGAAAAAATGTCTTGGCAAAATGTGTATGTATCATATTTTCTTTTTATTCTAAAATACTTTTAAGGTTTTTAAGAGTTTGAAAACAAAGTTCTAAGCTGCCAAAAGGATTTTCCTTAAGGGCACCAAACCATGTGACTCTGCTACTCTTAGGACAGGGGTTCTGATGACCATGCATACAGTATCTCTAATATTACAAACAAGCAAAGCAGAGTAACAAAATCATTAAAACATTGGCATATCTCTTGCTAAGAACCCCTATACAACCTATCTTTCCAACTGCATTGGCTATTACTCCTTCCCAAAGTCCCTCAATACTGTGACTAGCCTCTTGTCTCTCATATGTTACACTCCACTTTTAGTCTCTTTGTCTTTGCACTGCTATTTCATATGCCTGGCATACACTCTCTCCTTAATTTTGTTTCATAGTGTCAATCATTTAATAAAACATTTATGAAACACCTATGTGCCAGGTAAATGCTGGGGATAAGTACCACCAAAAAAATAGAGACTATTCCCTGCTTCAAGGAGCTTGCATTCTAGAGGGAGGAAACAAGACGTGGGAGGAGGGTGGAACCTAGGGAGAAAGAATAAATGATGGCCTGGGTCACTCCCCAAAATGGAGGTCTGGAGGTCCTGGAAGGAATTCATGGATAGGGAAGTGTGTGGCACAGGTACAGGCAGGTTGCAAAATGAGAAGGCAGCTAAGGTATAGTGGCAAAGTGTGCAGAGACAGAAGCAAAGCTGAGAGGGGAAGGATGAATGACGTGGGCCCCTCCCCAAAACAGAACTCCCCCAAAGAATTCACCAAAGGGAGAAGGGGGCTACTGAGACAGAAAGGTGGCAAGTGAAAAGAATCCCTCTGCCTTTTTAAGATGCAAATCAAGCACCATCTTTCTGCATGAAACCTTCCTATTACCCCAAACCTAGTATCCTCTGTCTTAAACTATCTTGTGCTTTAGCTTCTTTACATACGTATTTGTTGTCTCAACCATAACAACATAATCTCTTTGCAAGGAGGGGATTGTGTTTACAATACCTATAGAGATGCAGTGCAGCTTACTGGATCTAGCTGACCTCATGCAGGTAGACCTAGGTTCAAAGTCCCACCATAGACTGGCTGCATTACTGTGGGCTAAGATAAGATTATACAAGCTGCAAAACAATTCTCTTTCTGAAACTCCCCTACAGGAGTTTCCTCACTGAAAGTTTCTTCTACCAGTGAAATTATAGATCTAGACAAGAACAACAAAATGCTTTAATTTACCTGTATCTGTAGTTTTATTTCATTCTACAGCACTGTCTTCACCTTGGTTATTTAAAAAATCCATAAGTAAAACAACAAGTAAAGAGTTAGCCAAGTGAATGAGAAAATGCTTACTCTGTGAAAAGCACTGTATTAAGTCCTGGAGATACAAATAGAAGACAGTTCCTGCTGTCAAGGATCTCTCATCGTAACAAAGATTTGAGCTGCAAATGGAAAGGCCCAGTGGTTCTTAGGGTACAATATTAAAGACATTTGAGTAATTTATCTTCTTCAACATTTTGATTAAAACCATTTCCATTGGTGGCTAAACTTTCTTTCCCTGATCTTTAGGAATGGTGGGGGCTGCAGCAGCAGTAGCAGTTGCCAGGTACCATCTCCATAAGGTTTGCTCCCCTGGATGATAGCAGTGGAGCCTGGGGTGGAAGCAAGGCACTGTTATTCCTAAGCATTTTGGGCACAAGAGTTTTGGATAGCAAAACTTATTCTTTAATGAAAGACCAGTTAACAATGCTTTGTTGATCTTACAAAGATGATACAGACTAAGTTGCGAATCAACAAGTTGTTATATGCAGTTTGGTTAGATAATGGAACTTAGCTTTTGAATTTCCATTCACTGGAAAGGACTAATGGGCAATCCTCATGGTGTAGCTACCAAAATCATAAGTCTAACTGTAAGCCATCTGCGCAGGGCGAAAGTTTATTCAAAGGGAAGAATTTACAATGAATTAATTAAGGCCACTGTGGCTAAGGTGACATCAAAACTCAGCTATAGTTTTAAAATTTCTTAGGTTATAAGCCATTTTTCCCCCCTAACTGGTGATTTTGGTTTTCCTCAGTATGGTGGAGATATCACTCGAAAGATGAAACTACTAAAACGGCAAGCAGAAGGAAAGAAAAGAATGAGAAAAGTTGGCAATATTGAAGTCCCAAAGGATGCTTTTATAAGAGTTCTAAAAAGACAGCCTGATAAATGAATGTTTGTAAAGTATAATTATGTTTGATTTATTTGAATTATATGTATGATACATGTGTGTATTATGATTTTAAAATCCACTTTTAATAAAATTAATCTGTTAAAGTTTAATCGGTTTATTTCTAAGCTCATAACAAATGAAATCTAGTTCATTCCTCATTTTTAGGTGTGTCATTATGTGTCTGAGTAATAACTGAAAGACAGGCCTTGAATCTTATTTTAATGTGGGGGTTAGGGTTAGGGTTCTTCTTCAGGAGAAGAGGGGTTTAGAGCCCAGACGGAAAAAAGAGGCCATTTAGTCCAACCTTCTTTGACAGATTTTTAAGCCTGTCTAGGGCTTAAACAAAATATTTGGTTTTCTCTTCCTGTTGGTGTCTCTCCCCTGTGTATAAACATATATTCCCTTATATTTAAAAATTCTAGTTATTTGTAAACCATAATGTTTAAGTTTAGCTGTTTTATAGATTGTTAAAATACAGTTTTCACTTTTTTCCCCAAGGAGAATATGAGCATAAAACTAACTAGACTAAAACAAAGCATCTCAAAATACTCCGCATTGTGTTCGTGTTAAAGACCTGAAAAATAAATGCAAAATTCACCAGGACTATCAAGAATTTTATGATTTAATACTTGGAATGTATCCAGAGCATATTTATTTCTTTTCAATCATCTCGAAGTAAAATTTGTAAAGGGTTATACATTACAAGGTTAAAGTTAAAAAATAATCCTAATATCTGAGTTCACATAGTAATAAATGATGCAAGTTACTATTGTAATGCAAAACAGATTATAGGTAATTCATTTTATGCATGCCTATCGATCCTTTTAGCCATATTGATTTATTATGAACTAATCATTGATGCAGTTTAATAATTTAAAAAAAATGTTTCTTGGATGTCCTAATTGCCAAAGTTTGTACTTAACTAAATGCATGAACCTGAGTAAGTAAATGAAAAAGCACACTTAAAGTGCTATGGCAAAAGCCGCATAAAAACATGCACATAAAAAGATACTTTTTTAAAGGAAGTAAACGGTATAGGCACTGTCTTTTCATATCAAATTAGTTTTTTATCAGCATGATGTAACAGGACTTGAAATACCCAAATGCTACTGTAGTAAGATGCTTTTAAGGCAACAACGTGCAAAAGCTTGTTTGAAATACATAAAAAATGTAAACACAGCTTTCCCTAAAGTAAGGATTGTGTAACTGTTACAGTTCATACTTTTAACAACTGTCAGGTCAGCAGGGTATTGAAAAAAATTAAAATAAATTTATATAGTCAAAGAATGAAGGATAAATGATTTACAAAATTCTTATTTTCTTACATTATATTCTAAATTAGGCAGACTTTTCAATTTCTGATTTGCAGTTTTTAATGAACAGCTTTGAAAACTTCAAAACTTTAAATATTGGGGAAATAGATTTAAGTTCTCATCACATGGAATGTTTAACAATCTATAGATACTGGACATTTAAATTACAATCCTCCAAATTCTTGTGTTTTGTTTAGCACATTGCATAGCAGGAAATTTAGTTCACTACCTATAAAAATGTTGTTCTGTTCATTCAAGGAGAATTTCACCTCAATCCTTCAGTTTTCTTCTTTCATACTGTACAGTGGGTCCACAAGTTTATTGTGCACATGCATTAAACCTTAAAGGAGAAAAAAAAAAGCATAGTTCTAGTTGTATGTGAGTTATCAAATGAGATAATGTTTGCAAAAGTGCTTACTCTACAGTGATTTCAATTTTAATAAAAAGAGGAACAGCAATACATCACAATAGCCAATTAATACAAATAATACTTACAATAAAACACGGAAGTGTTATAGAAATTTTAGCAAGATTAGTTTCTGCTCTAAATAAACAGCCCAATCCAGATATTTTTTTTTCCCTGCACAGCATTTCAGGAAGCCTATTTATTCAGTATTCAAACCTAGCACTGTAGTAACAAATTACATAAAAGAAATGCAGAAAATGGGTCTTCCCTATCCTTAACATTCAGTTCATTTAACAAAATTTATTAGACACTGCAGAGCACTAAGCTAAATGGTTGGGAAAATAAAGTTCAGGTAAGAAAGCCCTTGTAGGGGTAGCTAGGTGGCACACAGGAGATAGAGCACTGGCCCTGGAGTCAAGAGGACCCGAGTTCAAATTGGCCTCAGACACAACACTCACTGTGTGACTCTGGGCAAGTTAGAACCCCAACTGCCTCACCAAAAAACAAAAACAAAAAAAGCCCTTGTTCTCACAATAGAGGAAAAACACCAAACAACACTGCACTGGAGTTGTTAAATCAGGTGTTCTATGAAGTCTGGAGAAAGTCAACAACTAGGGCTGAGGGAAGAAAGCAATGAAGAATGGGAGAGAAGATAATCTGGGGACGGAACAATGCACAGCCGCAATAACTAGTTGGAGAAAAGTGTATGGAGGTAATAACATGATAAAATTGGAAAAATTGGGTGGTAGAGCTAGGTTAAGACAAAAAACTGCACTTTGTTAATCATTAGAAAGGTTTCTAAGCAAAGGAATGGATGCTATTGCATGTACAATGTATACATAAATAGAAGAAAGTGAAATGCTTAAACTACTTAAGTGAACTGTTTGAAATATTTTCAAATATATGAGAAGTACCTACTTCTAATTCCAGCCATGACTAGATTTCTTCTTTACCTTACTTTCTCTTTTTAGAGGCTGACCTCAATGGCTAGATAGGTTTCCCTTCACCCACACCTGGGAAATCTTTCTCTTCTTCCCAGGCTGAACTCTGAAGCTCTCATTTCCATCTTCCATGAAAATTTCCCTGACTCCCCCTGCTCAAAATGTTTAATGAACTGAAATGAATTTTCTCCTTTTGTGGAAATCTGGATCAAGTTGGAAGATACATGCAGCAATATAGGTGTGCTCCCTGTATACAATGGATGAAGGACTCTACAAACCAATCACAAACAATTACCTCTTTGTAAATACTTGGTTTTGAAAACATGTCTGCTATATACCTGCATTTAAGTACAAGACATTTAACTATTCCCTGTAAACTACCAAACACATTTTAAGTACGTAAAATTTTCATGAGAATTAAAACCTGAATTCATCTAGCATACTCTTAACTCATTTGTCGAATAAGTCTAAAGTCTTAAAAATGTGTTAATAAAAATTTTAGCAACCTGTTAGTCCAGCAATTAAGACATTCTATTTCTAACAAGCATTTATCAAGCACCTACTATGCTCCAGGCACTGTTAGATATTGGAAACAGAAAATGATCTTACATTCTAATAGAGAAATATGTATCTAAGTATATACAACATGCATATAAAGAGAATAAATATAAAGAAATACAAAGTAATTAAATATAAGATGGCTTAAGAAGGAAGGCACAGTTAGGAGAAATCAGAAAAGGTTTCATGTAGAAAGTGGTGCTTAAGCTGTCTCCACAAAGATGAAAGAGATCTAAAAGACAGACGTTAGGAGAGATTTAATTCAGGGGTCTGGGGGAGACAGGGCACAGAAGGGAGGGGGGTATTGACAATACCAAAAAAAAAAAAAAAAGGTTGGAGGGCGAGGGTAGGGAGATGGAGTGACTCGTGCAAGGAAAACAGAGAGAGCCAGTCTGGATTGCAGATTTTTGGAGGGGAAATAATGAAATAATGTCCAAGAAAGCACAGAAGATAGGATGGAGCTAGGGTGTGAAGGCTGCTAAACCAAGTTGAGTTGACATTTTATCCTAGAGACAATACAGAGTCACTAGCATTAACAGGGTCAGATAAGCTTAAGGAAACACTACAACAGCGGTATGGAGGATTGTCTGAAGTTGAGAGAGACTTGAGGCAGAACGAGACCAATTAGGAGGCCCCTGCAATAAATAATCTAGGTGAGAGATACTGAAGGCCTGAATTTAGGTTGTGACTGTGTGGAAGTGTTGGATTCAAGAAATGCTGTAGAGATAGAAATGGCAAGATCTGACAGCTGATTAAATATATAAGATGAAGGAGAATTTGAAAAAAAAACTTTTATATATTTGAAAAATAATACCAACTACACAGCTCATTCAAGTTTTATGTACACAATAAATACAAAGAACATAAAAGCTACTATTTCATCTGAGCTTCATGACCACCCTAGAAACAGAAATAGAAAATAGAAATAGAAAGCACTAGAGACATTGTCCCATTTTTGGAAATCAGGCTTATTAAGTTAACTGTCTGTGGTCATACAGTAACCGAGAACAAGACAAGAGTTAAATCTAGATCTTCTTAGCTCTATCAATGATAACACACTGCCTTCTCAACTATTTGGTTTCTGCATAGTACGTTTTGGGCAAAGTGAAACCTACATTTGAGCCAGTACAACTGCGCAGATACCGAGGAAAAGGGAGAGTGGTAATTAACATAAAAACCTCTGATGTTGGGTGGTCATTCTATTCAATTTTAAAGTATTTGTAAGATGGATGAGGTCTCTCACGATGCTGTTTGAAACATTAAATAGAAGAAACTTTTTCTTTCTCTACATTTTGCTGATTTTATTGATGAAACAATTGAAAGCAGGATTTATCTAAAAAAGGAAAAATGTGGATCTGTGGGACAGGGCATCTCTGTGATCAGCTCCAAGACTGTTGTTTATTTTATTTAAAACATGGTTTATATTAGTATTCTCCTTTTAAAAAAAAAAGGCAAAATGTGCCCCTGTTGTGATCAAGCCATCAGTGGAGGAATTTAAATAAGCTTTCCTAGTAATCCTCTCTAATCAAGTTCCATTTTGAATTGGAAAGGAACCGCAAACTATTCATCCATAGGCTGAATTTAAGAAGCCAAGCCAGATCATAGAATCAGAGATTTAGAGCTGGAAAGAACCTCAGTGGTAGTAAAACTATACATAGGTCACAATATACTCAGACACTTCACAAGATGCTAGTGTGTATTTTTTCATGAGTTGCTATGACCAAAAACGGAATCCGTTATTTCTTATGACCAAGCTTCTGGAGATAAGCCTCTCTGAACTTAGCTAGTCTGTCACTAGGCCCATACTCTCAAAGCCCTGTTTGACAGGCAAGGCCTCCTGGACAGAAATAAGAAATAGAATAGTTCAGGAAACAAATCCAAGCACAAAGGAC